GCATAACCTGGATCACCTAAAACATAAAGTTACAATAACGGTTGGATTTAATTACTCAAGCAATAGCATTTTTAAAAACTGTCACACTCACCAATATGCCATCCATCCTCATCATTACCTCTATCGAGACGCACTCCGACGGAACTGTTTCGCACAATAAATGAATTGTGCGTTCCTCCAGGCCACCGGGCAACAAAATTTAAAATGTTTAAATGAGAATCAGCAATTATTTGTACTTTAATGGAATGAAACCCTTTTCTATTGACATAATAAAATTTGTATTGCGATGGTGTTTTTATTGCAATGAGTGTGCAATCTAGTGCTCCTATGGTATTTGGAAATCCCACAATTGTGTAAAATTCTTGCTTGATTATGACTTGTTGTTGATTTGTCCAAGGAAACTGGATGTATTTTGGGCTCAAGGAAATGATGGCATCCAACACGGATGGCATAATCTGGCTCAGCGTTGGCTGTGAAATGCCAACGCTTCCAACGCTTCCAATCTCACGTTGGAAAGTGCCCGTGGCAAAAAATCCCAGGGCTGACAGTAATTGAATTTGGACTGGAATAGGATTCATGTGGCTGGTCTGTCGCTCCAAAAAAGGTCCCAAATCACAGCATAAACCCATAAGGATCTTTTTTGGGAAGCAGTATCTGCTGAGAAGCCACTCTGAACTCTCACCAAGCATTTGCCAAAGTTTTGCCAAATCTTCTAATAAAGTCATGCTACATTTTCAAATACCCGTTTGTCACAGGTCTCTTTTATAGGTTCTAACACAAATTAGGTGACAAAGCTGTTTCTCAACAAACAATTTCTTATTGAGTATACAGTGGTACCTTGGTTTACGAGCATAATTCGTTCTGAAAACATGCTTTTAATCCAAAGCACTCGTATATCAAAGCAAATTTTCCCATTAGAAATAATGGAAACTCATATGATCCGTTCCACAACTCAAAAATATTCATATAAAAATTATTAATACAAAATACAAAGTAAAAATACATAAAACAAATTAACATGCGCTTTACCTTTGAAAAGAATCGATGGTGTGAGGGAGACGAGAGAGAAGAGGAGGGTTATTTCGTAGGACGACTTTCACTATAATTAACAGAATCACTGCTATCTGTTGGCTCACTGGAATCTTCTTCTGGCTGTGCGACTTTAACAAGGAACCCATCCAATGACAGCCTCTTTTGCCTCCTTTTCGATTTCACAAAAATGTGGACATTGCATTGTCGTTAAACAGATTCATCGCTCGCACTGCTATGCCCTTATTCAGGTGGTGCTTTTCTACTAAATTTTGACTATACGAGTGAGGCATGTTGAGATGGCAACACTGGAAACAACTCCATCCGGAGTGCAAAAGGGCAGTAAGCTCTGCAGACTTGATCCTGTGCTAGATTGTGGCATCATTAGAGTAGGGGGGCGTCTTCATAGATCTGCAATGCCTGAAGAAACTAAACACCCTTGCATTTTGCCCAAAGATGCTCATGTTTCAGTTTTAATTTTAAGGCACATCCATGATCGCTCTGGACACAGCGGATGAAATCATATGCTCTCAGAGCTTCGTAAAAAATACTGGGTGGTGAAGGCAAACTCAGTTGCAAGGAACATAATTTCCAAGTGTGTTGTGTGTCGACGGGTTAGAGGCAAAACTGGCGAGCAGAAGATGGCAGACTTGCCGCAGGAAAGACTCCTGCCTGATCTCCCTCCCTTTACCAATGTAGGGCTGGACTACTTTAGGCCGATTGAAGTGAGGAGAGGAAGAAGCTTGGTTAAAAGATATGGAGTCCTGTTTACATGCATGTCTAGCAGAGCTGTACACTTGGAAGTTGCTTTTTCACTGGATACAGATTCATGCATCCATGCATTAAGAAGATTCATTTCCAGAAGAGGCCAGGTCAAGCGCATTAAATCTGACAATGGCACAAACCTCGTGGGAGCTCAGGCTGAGCTGAAGAAGGCTTTAAGTTCATTGAATGAAGGGAAAATACAAGGTGCCTTGTTATCTGATGGGATTCAGTGGCGCTTCAATCCACCTGCAGCATCACATCACGGAGGAGTCTGGGAAAGACTCATAAGATCTGTCCGTCAGGTGCTGAACTCCACTCTTCAGCAGCAAACCCTTGATGATGAAGGCCTTCAGACAGTTTTTTGCGAGGTGGAAGCAATCCTCAACAACCGTCCTCTTGCCACCGTTTCCTCAGATCCTCATGACTTAGAGCCGCTGACTCCTAATCACATCCTTCTACTGAAAACACAGCCCATCCTGACCCCTGGAACATTTGTTAAGTCCGACCTTTATGCTAGGCGCCGTTGGAAACAGGTCCAGTATATGGCTGATCTTTTTTTGCATAGATGGACCAAAGAATACCTTCTTTTACTCCAAGAAAGGCAGAAATGGGTGAAGGTAAAAAGGAACTTAAGAATTGGAGACATTGTTATGGTGGTAGATCCCACTGCTCCCCGGGGGTCATGGCCATTAGGCAGAATCCTGGAAACCAGGCCCGATGGGAAAGGTTTGGTACGTTCTGTGAAGCTCCAGACTAAGACTTCAGTCATCGAGAGGCCCATAACCAAGTTGTGCCTCATCTTGGAAACTGAGGAGTAACCTCTTTCATCAGAAGAGGATGTAATGTACATGTTGTTATAATTCGTATTGTTTATGGCTCCAATTTTAGTTAAAGTAATTGATTCTTTAGAGTACAATTAGGGGCCGGTGTGTAGGAGCCATAGGTAAATTGCTTGATGAATGTTTACTGTAATCAGTTTGTATTTGGCACAAGTGCACCCCCTACAGGTGGTGAGGGTGCTGCCCGGAAAAGGAGGTGACGTGGCACATGGCGGGGGAGAAGCGGGCCAGCAGATACCGTCATTGACCTCAGCCTTGGGCTTTAGGCGCGGTCTGTTCGCTACCCTGGGGAATCGTCGGAGATGATGATAAGGCAGCGAGACGATTCGCATTTCATTTTGTAATATGGTTTTTTTTTTTTTGCAATAAATGAAGAGGCAGTAAACAGCAACTTGTGGATCCTTTTGTGAAGGGCTAAGCTAAAGGCTGCGAGTCAGACAAAATGGTACCCGCACTTCCCAGGTGGCAAAACCACAAAAGGAAGGGTTGAAGGAAAAACCGGACTTTTGCATTTTGTCACTTCACCGACTGAGACCGAGCATGGGAGACGATTACCCACAATTCTGCAGCGTGAGAAAGTGAATAACCATTGGTTCAGTTGTGATGACGTGCGCTTGGCGTCAAAACAAGAAGTGCACGCATGCGCTTCCTGTTTTGAAGCCGAGCGCACGTAAAAACAAGAAAAACAAGGAGCGCATGTGTGCCATATGATTTTTGATGATACTTGGCGCTCGTAAACCAGGACTTGCTTGGTTTCCAAGTCAAAATTTATTAAAAATCTTTGCTCGTCTTGCGGGACACTCGTAAACCACGTTACTCGTAATCCAAGGTTCCACTGTATATCATTTTGAAATAAGGAATAGGCATGGATAACTGAGACTTTCAATATTGCAGTTCCCCTGTTCTACCACTAGATTCTGTGCATATGCATGGTCAGAGCTGTTCTTATATTTAAGAACATTTCTAAGTATAAGTACAAGATGGTAAATTCCACACTTTGCGTGAAACGTGCGTGAAGTGTTTCTATACCTTATGGTCTCTGCTCTCCATATCTTTTTAGTGCAGAAGGATAAGAAAAAATTCTACCAAATAAAACAGGGTTCTAGCACTGTGTGCTTGGACCCCTAAATAACATAAATATAATAATTTACATTTATTCATTTAGCAGATGCTTTTATCCAAAGAGATTTACAATAAGGGAATGGAAACTAAGCCTTCTGTGTGGCAGGCAAGAATTAACCCAATGAACCAGCAATGGAAAGAATAACAACAATAATATAATAATAAAGTATATAATTATCATTTTCCATATCATTTTACTATTTCCAGAGCCACTTTCCATAATGAATCAAAAGGTGTTGTATGTAATGCAAACTGTACAGCAATCACTTCAACAGCAAAAAAACCACAATGCCCAAAGGTTTCATCTCACTTTTATAAAAGTTTCGAAAAACTGACAGGATTTGAAACCTTTGATGCTTCAAGACGAGTCGGACATCATCAGTCACATGATACTGCGTAAACAAAGCAGGCTTCAACTCCCAGCTTCGAGTTGCTGGGCTTTACCCATTGGTACTGTTTTGGTTTGACCCATTGTGGTGCCTTTGTTAGTTTGGTCTTCCCTTTTGTGTTCCGTTTATACAAAATAAAACAACCCCTTCTGGCTTGAGCCGCTTCGTGGATCTGTCACAGGAACAGGGCATGGTGCAAGCAGGAAAAACGAGGTGATGATCCACTAGCCCAGGGATGGGCAATCTTATCCGTAAAGGGCTGGTGGGTATGTGGGTTTTTGGGATGACCTTTAGGTCAGCTGTTCAAACCCAGGTGTGAGGACTTTTCAGCCAATCAGTCCTCTAATTAGTGACCTAATTAGGGAGTTGCAGCGAAAACCTGCATACACACTGGCCCTTTGCGGATAAGATTTCCCACCTCTGCACTAGCCGCTCTGAGACACAAAGGGGGTTTATTACAGAACTGAAAATACTGGGAACGCTACAAAACAAAGCAGACCACAATGGGGTCAAAACTAAACAGGGGAAATGATATAACTAACAGAACAAAAAATTATCTACGAAGGGAAACTGGTTACACAGAGAACAGGCAGGGAAGTGAACATAGCACACAGCAAATCAGAATAACCAACATCAAGGAACACAGTCAAAAAATCACTGGAGAACAAATCAGGGCAGGCAATTAAATACACAGTAAACTGGGGCAAACAAGGACTGGGTGTAAGACATAATCAATTAACCAATCACAGGACGCAGGATAACAAGCAACAAAATACAATAATCAAGAAGCTCAGGGAAACAACACACAGATGAATCTAATAAACTAAATCATTGAACTAAGATACAGACAGAAAAACTAAGGAACAGAATCTAACACAAGGAAAACAAGAAGGACAGATAAAAAACAACCAATGGCACAAAACAAAAAACCAAAACAGAATGCAAACCACAAAACTCAGGAACTAGAAAAACTAATACGAATGAAACAAGGTAACAAATCTACTAAATATAAAAACAGAGGGGGCTGGACTTGAACACAAAACTGATGGGTTATTAGTCACACACTCAGCCCTTCATTCCATGCAGCAATCCAGGGACCTAGGGAAACACACGAAACACTTAGGCACAGGGAGAACAGGGTGGCCAGCGATACAGGGAGCAGACACGAAAGGCTGGGGCAGATGGGTGCTGACCCTGACAGGATCGTCCTTTCACCATGCCAGTTCCTAACACATTTAGTGCTTTCTATGCAAGTAATATTTTTAAACTAATCCAGTGACAAGAGGGAAGCTAGCGTAGTGATTTAAGGACCGGTGTAATATGCTCAGCTTTCTTGGTGTTAGTGTGGACTCTGGCAGCAGTATTCTGGATGAGTAGCAGATTGGTTTGTCTGATTTTTTTGTCAAGACCTGTGAAGACCCTGTCACAATAGTCGAGTCTGCTATCTGTATCTTGCTATGTTTTTCAGCTGGTAGTAGGCTGATTTTGAAATTGTCTTTATGTGGCTGTTCTAATTTAGATCTGAGTCCAGAACTACACTAAAGATTTCTGGCTTGATTTGTAGGTTTAAGGTGGATTCAAGGTGAGCAATGACTTTCAATCTTCCTTTTTGTGGCCAAAAAACAATTCTTTCAGTTTTCTTTATTGTACAAAATTCTAGCACATCCACTTATTGATTTTTTCAATGCCCCTTTTCAGTGAGTATAAGGGACTATAGTCACGTGGTGACACTGAAATGTCCAGTTGTGTACCATCTGCATAATTATAATAAGAAATTAATAATTAATAATGTTCTATAATCTCAGCAAGGGGGATCATGTGGATATTGAATAGAAGAGGCCTAAGAATTGACCCTTGAGGTACTCCATATGATTTTTTGCTCACACACATTCATAATTACCTATTGACCTAAAGTATTCCCTATTTTGTAAATATGATTCAAACCAATTTAACACTGTGCAAAAAAATCCCACTAATTTTTCTAGTCTGTCTAGCAGTATCTTATGGTCAACTGTGTCGAACGCAGCACTGATATCCAGTAATACAAACTGAGATACTTAATTCATCACTGCTTAGATGAATGCCATTTAAAATCTTAGCCAGTGCAGTTTCAGTGGTGGTGTACTCCAGCCCTGTGCCCTGCGATGGACTGACTTCTCATGAAGGGTGTCCCCAGCCCTGGGCGTTGTGATGTACTGACATGCCATGCAGGGTGGGTCCTAGTAGTAGTTTTTGTCTATCCACAGTGCCTTCATTTTAGATTTTCTTAATGCCCTCATGCCAGAGACCAAAACTCATGGTTGATGCTTCTCATCAACCTGCATGAGGATTGTGAGCAGCAGTCAAGCATGTAACTATATCCCTGTTTGAATTCAACTACAATGAATGGATGCAGGTATCAGGCAAGCCAGAATGGTGGCTTCTCTATTACTGCTTGTTGGTACTTGCATACAATGGAGCATTCATAATGGAAAGCATAACAGAGCAAGCAGGGAAAGAGGGAGCAAGGTTTGAGAGAAGCAGAAATAAGATACTTTAATGCAATGGTTTTAGGAAAAACACCTTCATTATCAGTTTAGTGTTTAGTAATGGGCTACTTTGTACATGTTTTCAAGGTGAATACTCAAGACTCATTCACTCACGCAACGTTGTAATGTTCCTTTAAAGGCCAAAAGTTCAAATTAATCAAATGTGATTTATATGGACTGGTATCCCATGCAGATATCTAACCAGTACATGGACAAATATCAGCACCAGACCCCTCACTCATCTCCTGGAGATACAGGGAGAGAACCTGGGTACACCCTGCATGGAATGTCAGTCCATCACAGGGCACAGGGCTGGTGTACACCCTGCATGGATGTCAGTCCATTACAGGGCACAGGGCTGATGTACACCCTGCATGGAATGTTAGTCCATCACAGGGCACAGGGCTGGTGTATACCCTGCATGGATATCAGTCCATCTCAGGGCACAGGTGTGGTGTACACCCTGCATGGATGTCAGTCCATCACAGGGCACAGGGCTGGTGTACACCCTACATGGATGTCAGTCCATCACAGGGCACAGGGCTGGTGTACACCCTGCATGGAATGTCAGTCCATCACAGGGCACAGGGCCTACTCATCGTGATTCAGGAATTGCTCTGTCCAAGATCTTAAAGCCCTGCAGAGAGTGGTGCATGCAGAAGAGCACATCCTAAGGTCAGCACTGCTCTCTCTGCAGGATATCTACACCAGGCGCAGCCGGACCAGGGCAATTAAAATAATTAGGGATTCTACCCACCCCAGCAACAGACTGTTCAGACTGCTTAACTCAGTCAAGCGACTGCGCAGCTTAAGGGCTAAAACTGATAGGCTTAAGAATGCTGAACTCTGACATGCCAACAAACATCTGAACCTAAAACTCATGCACATTCACTGTAACTTACTGCACAGTCATTTTATACTCTTTGGAGCTCAGATTCTTAATTTTAATCTAGTTTAACTTAATGATTAATTTTATTATCTTTTTCATAATTTTATTATTTGCTCTATTGTGTGTTTGATTTTACTTTTGCACAATCATGGAGCCAGCTAATTTTTCATTTCACAGGGGTGGGACATACCAGCAACAGCCGATCACCTCTGATTGCATCCGCTTCTTAAGCGGGTCACCAGCAACTTCCATTGCGAAGTATAGTTGCCATGGTTATGTGCCTTACTGAGCATTTCTTTGTTCATTGTCTTCCCTGTTATCCTTGCCTCCTGCATCCTGCCTGCCCTGCCTGCCTACCTACTCCCGCTTGCCCTACCTGCCTGCCTTCTCCTGCAATCCCGACCCATCTCCACTGCTCATCCTCCCCTCTTGTTATCTTGTCCTGTGCTTGCTCGTGGAACTGACCCTTCCAGCTTTTGACTCCCTACATCCGACCCGTCTATGATTTTGGCTTGTGGACTTGGCATTGGTTGTACCTGGTTATAGAAGTAAACTACCTGTCTCCTGTACTACGGGGTCTGCCTCTTGTTTGCTCTCCCGGAGTCACAGTACCTGTTTAATTGTGTTTTTAACAGAACTCCTGAATCTTGAATCAAATTAGTGAAATTAATTGATCATTTCTATCTGTTTTTTAATCTGTTTAATGATAATAAACCCACAGGAAAACAGCATATTTATGATAAATTAAATTACTTGGATATTTATTACATACTTAGAGACCAATAGCAGAGGCTGTAGTGAGTGACAAGTTAATGAATACATGCTTTACAGCAAAGTGAACCCCACCTTTTGAGGGGCAGGGGACACGGTCCTACCATTAGGAAGGTAAGGGAGGGCAGCTGTAGTAATAATAATAATAATAATAATAATAATAAATCCTTCATAGTTGTTACGTCGGGTCGGGAAGCAGGCAAAGAAAGCCATGAAGAATGGTAAACAGGGTTTATTGTCAGCGACACAGACTCAGAACATGCAACGTCAATGACCGGACTGGGGAAACTAACTCAGACATGGACTAAATACACAGGACTGGCTGAACATAACAAGTAACAGGTGATTACGATTGGGAATTAACATGAGGTAACGAGGTGGGTGTGGCACACATGAGGATCGAACGAGCAGGTCATGACAGAACCCCCCCCAAAGGAGTGCACTCTGGGCGCGCCTCAGGGGAGGTGACGAAGGAGACCAGACTGGGAACACGGGACCTGAAAAACAAGAGCAAAAACATCAACGAGAGATGGGGAACAGAAGAGACACACAGAACAAGCACAGGGGCAAAAGCCAAGACAGGATCCGACAAAGGACGGAGGAACAAAAGGGCCAGGAGCGAACAAAGGAACCAGAGGGGGACGAGGAGCAGAGACAGGAGGGACAAAGGGACGAGGAGCAGACAAGGGAAAGGGCAGAGGAAGAAGGGGAGACCGAGGGAACCCAGGCAAGCGAGGGAAGGCAGCCGCAGGGGCCACAGGCGGACGGGAAGCCAGAGCCAGAGGGAACCACACAGGGGACGAGTAGACAGACGGAGGGACCGACAGAGGAGACGAGGAGGGAGCAGGAGGGGACACTGGTGCAGGCAGGCAGGAGGGGGAAGCCGTGGCGGGCAAAGGCACTTCAGGAGCCGGGGAAGGCGCCGTCCGACGCCAATCCGAAGCAGGGGGACCCGGAGGCGGGTGACGAGGCGCCGCCGGAGGGACGGCAGGTGGGCGACGAGGCACCGGAGGGGGACCCAGAGGCGACAGCCGAGCTGGAACCGCAGGACCCGCAGGCAGCCACCGAGCCACGGCCAGGGGACGCACGGGCGAGCCAGGGGGCAGGGCGGGAGGGTCCTGGTCCCTGCGTCTATGTCCTCTCCCTCTCCGGGACACAGATAGTCGGGGACCTGGTTTGGTTCCACCACTCTGGGGTGATGGCGGAGGAGTCCCTCTAGCCCCCGAGTTTTTGGGGTCCAGGGGGTAGATCCCCGAGGGGTCCCATTCCAGCTCCTCCTCCAATTACACTATGGAGGGAGGAGCAGGAGGCGGAGGCCTAGGAGCCTGCCGTGGCGGCAGGCGGTGCAGCCGGAGAGACCGGTCGGACAGGCGAGCCAGGCTGGAGAGGTGAGACAGGCTGGACAGGCGGCCTCAGGCAGGGCTGTGGGCAGAGCGGCGGCAGCAGGCCGGGCTGCGGGCAGAGCGGCAGCAGCAGGACCACCGACTCTCGGCCAGCAGGGGGCGCTGATGAGACAGGGCAGATGAGATGGGCAGGACAGGCGAGCCGGGCAGGATGGGTGAGCTGGGCAGGACAGGCGGGTCAGGCGGTGCCGCGGGCAGAGTGGCGGCATCAGGCGGTGCCACGGGCAAAGCGGCGGCATCAGCAGGCACCTTGGGCGTGCAGCCAGCAGGGGGCGCCGCAGCAGACACCACAAACTTGTGGCCAGCAGGGGCCTCGTGCGTGGCAGCAGGAGGTGCAGCAGCAGGGGCCTCGTGTGCGGCAGCAGGAGGCGCAGCAGCAGGGGCCTCGTGCACGGCAGCAGGAGGCGCAGCAGCAGGGGCCTCGTTGGGCGGTACGACAGCCGCCGGAACAAGTGAAACGGGCAGGTCAGGCACAGGCAGGTCAGGCACGATGGGCAGATCAGGAACGACGGGCAAATCAATAGGCACCAGGGTGGGCGCCGGGTGAGCAGGCGCTGCCCCTTTAAGGGCCTTGGGGATCTGGGGAATGGCATCCCACATTGCCCTGTCCCCTTTAAGCATCAGGCGAGTTCCGGGGTTATGTCCGGGGTGACAGCAGCAGCCTCTGTGGGACATACCGTGTCGATGGTGTCCGCCGAGGCCGCACACCCGAGGTGCCCGGCTCGCCCGTCCTGCCTGCTGCCGCTGCTCTGCCCGCGGCCCCGCCCGTCCTGCCTGTCCAGCCCGGCTCGCCCGTCCAGCCCGGCTCGCCCGTCCTGCCTGTGCAGCCCGTCCTGCCTGTGCAGCCCGTCCTACAGTACCTGCCTCTCCGGCTGCACCGCCTGCCGCTACGCCTGCGGCTCTGGCTGCACCGCCTGCCACCACGCCCCCTGCTCTGCCCGAGCCTCCACCCGCTGCGGCTCCAGTGACTCCATCGGCCTTGCCCCAGCGAGGCCTACACTCCCCAGGACCCCGCCTTTCCGTGTCTGGTAAGGGGAGGGGACACAGGCGTCGGACCCAGGTCCCGCCCGCCCTGCCCCCTGGCTCTCCTGTGCGTCCCCTGGCTGTCGCTCGGTGGCTGCCTGCTGGTCTCCCCTGTCTGCTCCTCGTCCCTTTGTCCCTCCTGTTCCTGCTCCTTCTCCTCCTGTTGTTCCTCCGTTCCCTCCTGGTCCTTTTGTTCCACCTGTCTATTCGACCATGGTGTCCCTTTGCTTGTCTGCCTTCCCCTTCTTGTGCCAGTTCTTGTCTTCTCTGTTCTCTGTGTTTCTTCTTTGTCTCTGTTTTGTCCCTGGTTCGTCGTTGACTTTTTTTTTTCGTCTTCTAGGTTCTCTGTTTCCTGTTCGGCCCCTGCCCTGGGACACGCCCGGAGTGTGCGCCTTCGGGCGGGGGGGGATGGGGGGTGGGTGGGTGTGCCACGCCCCTTATTACCCATGTGTGGAATTTGTGCTTCTCTCAAGCTGTTTTGTGTTTCTTAATTAGTTTCTTAGTATTTAAGTCCATGTCTTACCTTTACTTGCCAGACTTGTCATTAATGTTAGCCAAGTTCGTGTCTTGTTAGTTTATGTCTTGAGCTTAGTTTTCCCTGTCTTTCCCTGGTCTGCTCCCTTTTGTTGTTTTAAACCCCATTAAAATCCCTTACTTTGCTGATCCTCGTCTCCTAACCATTATTCCTTGCCTCCTCCCTGGACGTGAACGTAACAATCACAGACAACAATATAGTCATAGAACAATAAAAGGAAAGAAGGAAACACATGGGCTGTAAGGAACAACTTCTGATTAATTCTGTGGCACTCAGGCACACAAAAAGCACAGACATCTATATGCTGCATACATTGATTACAGAAACGCTATTGGCAGTGTCCCACACACATGGCTAATACATATATTGCACATATACAGGATAAATCCCACATTAATACAATTCTTGCAGACACCGATGGGACACTGGAGAACAACATTACACCTTCACATCAACAGCACAACAATACAAACAAATACAATCTACATCTGAAGAGGCATCTTTCAGAGAGATGCACTCAGTCCTGTCTGACTCAACTCACTATCAAACAGCACATACTATGGATTTACAATCTTCAGTAGTGCACCCTCTCACATTTATTCTACATGGATGACCGAAAAATACATATATGCCAGAACCAACATACCCTTACAACATCTGCTCCATATACTGTAAGAGAAAAATTGTCACAAGACATAAACATGGAGTTTGGCCTGGACAAATGTAAAACAAAAGAAGAAGGAAGCCTGAGAGAAGGAGGCTTCTGCAAACTGGTGACCAAATTGATGCAGTAACAGAGAATGAGCTCCCCAAGTGCCTGGGATTCCAACAGGCAAACTTACCGAGCATAAACACATTAAATGCACACTAACACAAAAATACATATATTGGCTAACAGAAATATTAAAAACACAACTACACGCACGTGATACAATCAAAGTCATCAACACATACAGTATGCAATGCCAATACTCAAATATTACTTTGGAGTAATGTATTGGACATCCTCAGAGTTAAACCAGCTCCAAAGGAAAACATGTACACTACTAACAACACAAATATCATCACCCAAAATCAGCTGCTGAGAGGCTTGCCCTCCCACGGACGGAAGGTGGAAGGGCCTCATAGACACACTGAGAAGCTTCTTCCACACAAAACAGAACACATCAGCACTACACGATGCTATAGTCCATGCAGACACCAACTACACACCATTTAAGCAGAACAATAACGCACAATAAAGCAGAACACATCAGGGGGGTATTCCAGAAAGCAGGTTATGTGACATACCTGGGTACTGTAAGTTTAAGGGTAAGTTAGTGGATAACCTCAACTTTCGGTTCCAAAAACGGAGGTTAACTTTCTGGGTATGTACGTAACCATAGCAGCTTACTCTCTGAAGATAACCTGCTCGGTAGCAGGTTATGTTCCAGGGTAAGTTTGTTGCAGAAGGTTACTGAGCATGGCGTGCCCTTTTGATGACGATCCTGTGGACGTGGAGGCACAAATTATACGAGGTTTTTTTCGCCGGGAGACAGTTATAAGACCGCGTATTGATGTATTTTAATTTCCTAATGATTATCTGAAAAAGCGTTATCAGTTTTCGAAAGAATCGTTAATTTAATTAACATCTCTTGAAACCACATATTG